ATGCCTTTACAGTGGTTTAAATTTTGCATCCAGTCTCCATTCCCTCTGCAACCTGTAAGTCCTCTGGTAGCCAAATGATACCTGACTGGTCCTGGGCACGTTCAGTGTATTCCTTGGTTCCAGTGCTTTGCCTAATTTGGGGTGAGTTCAAATGACATCTGTGAACTCAGAAAGCAGGTTCTCAGATGCTTGGGGAGGGTTGGGACCCTTACAACACTTTTGCCTTCAGCAAAAAATGTATTTCAATATAATTATAGTAGATAGCTTTCAATATGTCATCTCTATTACAGCAGCTGTAAATTATGAGTGAATTGCCTGTGTTCGAGCATTTCTTTTGGTACAAGCAAAGTGGGAGAGCTGCATACAGCATGGTGTATCTGGTCCTTTTTAACTGAGAACAAATGTTGAAGTCAAATTTCATTTGCAAAAACCAATGTGTCAATTTCCTTTTGGTAGAGTGGCACAAGAACCAAGAAAGACTTTTAATTCTTAAAAACAAGGCTTCCTAGGACCCTTGGCTTAAGTTGTAGGAATTGACCTATTCTAACAGTTGGGCCTTTAACCATAAGAACGTATTTGCAATGTACAGTTAAAGCATTTTTCAAAAGTTTGTAGCTAATCAACAACAAGACAGAGAAGCAAATAGGTTTGTCTCTTAGCTAAAAAGGAAAGCCATGTACCCAAGATGAAGTATTGTAAGACAGTTTGCCGTAAGCTTTGGAAAATTATCATATTCCTGCTGCATGTCAGAATCAACAAGAAGAAAATAAAATAGTTTTGTTTCCTTTCGGGTGGCAGTAATATTCAAGAACCTTACCCTAACATATATCCCATGCCTAGTATTTCAAAAGTATTTATAAGTGAATTTTTAGATGGTTATCAACAAGAATTATTAAATCTGAGCCTATGTAATAGAGACACATGATAAAAGAACAATTTTCTGGAGGGAAAAACAGGATTTTAAGGACAATACCATTTCTAAAACATATACATAAAACTGAGCCTTGCAGCTTGGATTTAATTTTGCTCAAACTGTAGCTCTAGTCTGTCTGCTTAGCTTTGTAAATGTGGCTGTGCTTATAAGGTACTTTAATTTACTGCAGTGGTGGTGTTTGTTAATTTTATTGCAATCTAAATCTAAACAGGCTTCAGATACATTTTCATTACAGCTTCATTGTGAAACACAGTAGAGTGAATAACTCTTAAGATTCCAATGTAGTTTATTTCTAAAAGACTCAACACAATTTTCTGTTGAAGCCTTTGCCTTAACATATATGTTCTTCCTATTTACTGTTAAGCTTTCTGTCATTCAGAGTACTCATGCTCACTTTTAAGAGGAAAAATATAATTACTGTAAAGTGATCAAAATAGTTGGTTTTGGCCAGGCGCGGTGGCTCATGCCTTTAATCTCAGCACTTTGGGAGGCTGAAGTGAATGGATCACAAGGTCAGGAGTTCAAGACCAGCCTGGCCAACATGGTGAAACCTCCATCTCTACTAAAAATACAAAAATTAGCCAGGCATGATGGAGGGTGCCTGTAATCCCAGCTGCTTAGGAGGGTGAGGCAGGAGAACCAGTTGAACCCGGGAGGCAGAGGTTCGAGTGAGCCGAGATTGCACTACTGCACTCCAGCCTGGGCGACAGAGTGAGACTCCGTCTCAAAAAAAAAAAAAAAAAAAAAAAAAAAGTTGTTTTTCCATCTGCTCTGCTCCCATTTCAAATGCAATCCAACAAGGGAAAATCAGAGAAAACCAGAATGTACCCGAATTATTTTCCAATTCTACATGGGTAGCAGCACAATTCAATGAAAAAGGAAGACATATTTTCAGAAACTGATTTCAACATCTGATTCTAGTACTAACTAGATGTGCGACATTGGACAAATCACCCTCTCTGAGTCTCATTTTCTCCTCTATAAAATGGAAATTACAATACTATCTATTTTAGAAATCCTATCCCTTCACCTTACTTAGCTCTGTTTAGCCCTTCTTGTAACACCGAAGCGTATCTCCGAAAGGTCCATCCAGATAAAGCCCTTGTACCCCAAAGAACTGAAAGGAAAAGTTGACCGTTTCAGGTCAAAACACACCGATCCTAATAACTTAGGAGAACTACAGTCACAAGAGCTATAAAAGCCAGCCCCAAAGACAACTTAAATGCTGCTATATCACTTCTAAAACAATTTCAAACCTACAGAAGAAAATCTGCAAATTAAAATTCTGCTGATTCTGCCAACTAGTCATCATACCCCATCTATTCATTTGTCCCTACTGTACAGATTTTATTTATCTATATTTTTCCATCCAAAAGTGTTAAAATGAAAAAGGAACTATATATTTACATCGTTATTAGGTTACTGATTATATCCAAAAATAATTCATGCATACATTTTTAGACTCAGGACTTCCCAATTTGATCTTCAGTAAAGAAAATACAAAAAAGAGATAAACTTATGAGGAACTTGTGTATACATTTATATTTTAAAAGCCAAAAATAAAACAAAACAACAAAAAAACCTGGTGATTTGATTCTGTTATCAGCTGGGACTAAGGTTACCTACAATCTCATGGAAAATTTTGTAGGATATTTCTAAAACAATGAGACTCAAGACCTTGTCACTGGCTGATACCAGCTTCACCCAACTTCTACTAGGGCTGTATGGAGAAAGTAAGGAGGCAGGTGTAAAGATACATGGCAGGAGATAGTAAGGAGCCACCTTAATTCCTTAGCCAAAAAGCTTGGGCCATTTGGCCTCTAATATTATATCTCTTTCCATGCAAGGTGACTGGTAGTGTTTATCTAGTAAGGAGGTATAGTTATTCTAGCATAAAGTTATACAATTAGGATTATACTACAAAGAAGAGTCATTTTCTACTGTTTATGCTCAGGGGCAACCTTTTCAACCATGACTTATTTTGTTTACTCTCAATTATTCATATGTAAAATCAGAAAGTGGGATTTTTTTACAAACACACTACACAATAATTTTTACAAAATTATTATTTGTACATTTTCCACCAAAAGTTATTGTTACAAATGAGGCTAGACATATAGTTTAAATCCCAGAAAATCCTATTCTAAAAATAGAAAACATCTTATAATATTAATTTATTTTACATTTTAACTTAATGCTATACAAATTTTTCTACTCTCCCTCAAAACACACTCACCTCTGGGATAGGATTTAGCATTTGCTTAATACCATCATACCCAGAATATTAGAAAAGGCAATGGGAAAAAACAACAATGACATATACAACTGAAACTACACAAGGAACGTAGTTTAAAACTGATTAAAACAATGACATATACAACTGAAACTACACAAGGAACATAGAGGAAAAAAATCAGTATTAAAACTGATCAGGGGTTGCCAGGGATCAGTGGGGAGGAAAGAATGAAAGAAGAGAGGGATGAATAGCACAGAGAATCTTTAGGGCAGTGAAAATACTCTGTATGATCCTATAATAATGGATACATGCCATCATAAATTTATCCAAATCCATAAAGTGCACAATACCGAGTGAACCCTAATGTAAACTATGGATTTTGGGTGATAATATCTCAATGTAGGTTAATCAATTTTAACAAATAAACTCCTCTAGTGGGTTTGCTGATAATGAGAGAGACTATGCATGTGTGGGGATGAAATATATGTGATACTCTCTACTTTCCTCTCAAATTTCTTGTGAACTTAAAACTGCTCTTTAAAAAAATCTTTAAAACACACATAAACACACCCAAAACTCACCAGGACTCCCATTTCACACTAACGTGTATGGACTTTAAAAAGTACTTGCCAACACAGTAAAATACTTATGGGTGAAATTGTATGATGTCTAAGACTTGCTTTAAAATATTCTATCAAATTGGGGCTGGGTACACAAAATCAGAGTGGTAAAATATTATAACTGTTTATCTGGGTAATAAGTATCTCACTGATTCCTTATTTGGGATTGAACTCTATGAAATTACCACATTCAATTGTTTTTTTACCTCAAACGTAGCAATTTCATAGGGTTCAATCTAATATTACTCTCATTATTTTTGTGCACATGTATTATAAAGTGCTCCATAATAATGCATTTTTAAAATTACCTTCCAAATGAGAAATCTTATCAAATGAGAATTTCTCAAACTTAGCAGCTTTTCAGCATTAAACAACTAAAATATATGTAAAAAGACTCACCAGTATTTTACTTTATTACATTAAATCTAAGACTCTTGTGTTTTTCTCCACATTTTAACAACTCTGAAATGTGAAAGCATTTTACAATCAGTGATATTTTATAGTTAAACTAGCAGCATTAATTTTTTCTTGGTGGTACATAAAATAATGATGTAACTTAAAATGAAAGTTATCTTAAGATTCAGAGTCAATATAATTGCTGAGAACTGGGTTTTTAACCCATATTCTCTTTCTAACCAGAAATTTAGCACATAATGCCTAGCCTAGCATTACCTGTCCTGGCGTACCCGTAATTATCTTGGGAAGTCTCATATTCAGAGAAACAGGCCAGAACCTGCTTACTTGGTGAAGTTCCCTATAGTCTGACACAATCCATAGAATTAATTCCCAGGAGGATTCTGGAGCTCACAGCATAGGAGGGAAAAGCTCACTGTGCAATGCTTCCCTTCAAAAGTGATTAAAGCTTATGAACAAGGCCGGTGCATAAATGTTAATTATACAGAGCTCTGAAGAGCACCAAGTGGTGAGGTGAGAGGGGAAGAATGACTGTAGGTGTGATAATAAGGGCACATGAATGTGAGAAATGAATAATACAAGTAGATGGGGTAAAATAGGTAGAGCTCCACCTCCAAAATCTCAAAGGGTCTTCATTTCATGAATCCAACAATTCACTTGGATTTTTGCATTGACCTTATTTATTTTGTAATTTGTGTTAACACCTACCCCTCACAACCCTCAGAATTGGTTAGCATGGTCTAATAGAAGAGCAACAGAGGGTTTGTGTAGGACTATGAGAGTGGCGGCTGCTGACCTGTTCATATTTCTCCAGTTCTGTGTGATAGATTTGTCTGATCTGGGTCAATTTGGCTCTGTAATCTGAGTGTTCAATAGAGTTATCTGAAGAACCTCCAGAGGCTGCTGCGGCTGCAGCTGCTGCCGCCGATCCCCCACCTTTCTCAGGACCTGAAACCCCTTCTGCCAAAAGCATATTGTCCAGTCTCATTAGCTGGGGATCGGGAGGGTCCTCCTCCTGGGCTCCTCTGATGCTGAGACCTTCAAGGAAAGAGAGAGAGACAGAGAGAGAAGAAGCGAGAAACAGAGGACAAATAGTGTGAGTATTTTGTTTATTTGAGAAAATGATCAAACAACATCAGTGTACTACAATTCATGCTGAGAACTTCACTGTTCACATTTGATTGATAAGTTTGAATAAGTATGAAAATTATTTTCAAGATAATGTTTACATGCATCCTAGAATTTTAAATATCCCCACCCCCCAACCTCAATTTACCATAGATTAGATCCTTAGAAAAAAACTAACCCTGGTTTCCTGGAATATTTTAATCATCCAAGCCTCCCAGATTTGGATAACTTAAGTATAAAATGGGAAAAGGGTAAAAAAAATGGAATGTTTTAAGACAGAAAGAAAATAATTAAAGGGATATAAAACAAACTTATCCAAAGGTAGTTATTCTGTCTCTCTCTACAGCTGGAGAAACAGAATTAAAATTTCCATAATTAATTCACAACTTATAATCAAAAATTGAAAAATAAACAAGATTAGTTGAGCTTTTCCATCATGTGATTTCAGAAGAGAAATACATACATTATGAGGTAATTAGCTATACTTATATATAGTATTAAGTGAATATTGTTAAGCAATTGCCAGTAAACTATAAAACAAGAACACTAAATACGGTATTAAAAATGTGCCATTGACATGGCAATACAGTCTTGGGCACAGTAGACTCAATCTAATTTTGCTTTTAAATCAAGAACTTCCTAAGTGATGCCCAGTCAGCAACCTCTTCTGAGTATTATAGATCACAGCTGACAATTCATAGGTTTAATCAGGTCACACAGGCTTTCTGCCAAGATGTTTTCAACAACACAGAAGACAAAGTTTCAAAATAATTATTATGGTATAAAAAGCATTGGAGTCATGACAGCTCAAAATCAGCATTTTCATTAATGTGTAACATAATTTAAAATATTCCAGGCCAATTAACCTCTGTAAATCTGCTTAAAAGCAGGTTCCCTACACTAGTTACAAGTGTAGGGAAGAGGGGAAAAGGAAGTTGGCACCTTTCATGTTTGCATTTGGATTCTGTCTTTTGAGTCTGTGCCTGTTGTTTATCCACAGTGGTACATACTTTGTGTCTAGCGTAACTTACATGACAGTAGCATCTATAAGCTGCCAAGTACTCAACTGATCACTAACTCTGATTTTATATGCTAACCTAAAACTACCATCAATTCTTTTAAGAACAGATTTCATTCCTAGATGCCCTGAATTACATCCATAGCATGACAGAGCTCTTGGTTGCCTTAACTCAAATGCACAACTTTAATTTCTTCCCCAAAACACTTTAGAGCTGTCACGTTCATTTAAAATTATACTTCAGAATAATTTCAACTGGATGATAAAACCAACTCACCATAATTTAAAATTATATCTGTTGTCTATTCAGAGGCAAATAAATAAGGTTTGAAAACTATAATATACTAAGACAGTATGTTTATTTAGGTGAGCAAAAAGGTAACTCATAAAATCCATATCAACACATCACTGAAAATTAAAAATAGACAAACATGTATTTGCAGTTTTTTCTATAACTGAAAGGGATTGCCTAATATTGTTCCAGAACTGCCATGTATTGGTTGTTTGTATTTTTAATTTAAATCTAATTTTCCTCTCTTTTAATTCACTTTGTTAAACGTTAAAATCTCATGGCCTGTACATGCTTGGGGTTCACATACCAAGATTTTTGTGCATTTGGCATGCAATGAGGGCTTACTGAGCAATCTTCTAGGCTGCACTTTGAATTCTGTTTAATTTTATATTCTTATTTGAGAAGTTATTAAGTTTCTCCTTTTTAAACTGAATTTTTGCCCACAGTTTTGTGTGTTTGTTGTTTTTTGTATTTACATAGGACACTGGTGCCTCTCCTGAAATGTGTTTTTTATCTACCTTCAAGTTTCCTCTGGGTTTCTAGTTTCCCCTTGTAGTTAAACACATTGATCTTTTCCCTACAGACATGTGGTGAAGTACTTTAATAGTAGATCAACTTCCATACCCAAAATGATTACACTTCCCTGAACATGTATGGCAAACAAGAGATGAAGCTCAATGACTGATATACAAGGATGTAGACCATAAGAGAGACAGAAGAAAATTCTTTAGGAAGAAATGCAAAAGGCACAAAACTAATCAGCTATCATGACACTTTTATACATATCTAATATGTATATAAACCATCATTATCATACCAGTAAGAAGCAACCCATAAGCTCAATAGTCATGGACACAAATAAAACAATTATAAGTATATAGTGTCAACTACTATAACATTTTACTCTTATAATGAAAAATATCTTATTTGTAAAATCATCAGTAAATCAACACTAAGTGCTTGCCTCAAGAACAGAAAAATGTTTTAATGCAATCCTTTGTATTTACTTTATAAATTATGTGCATCAAATTTCATCAGAATAATCATTTCCTGACAAAAATCTCATATTTCTTTAGATGAAAAGTACTAAAGCACTTTGCAAATAGGCAACATGGAAAAGACTATCAATAATAAAGGAATTTTCATAACTAGTTTGAAAAGTGAATCGGTTTTCTTTCTTTATTAAGCAAAGTAATGATTATGGGATCTTTAAATAGTAACATCTGATTTCCAAAATTATTTTCAATTTGAATATTTCTATTTATTTTCTTACTTAAAAGCATTTAAATTACCATTTTATTCCACATCCCACCTATCTAGCCACTCACTATTACTTAGTTTACTAACTTTCTAGAGTCACACTAGCTTTTAGTCATAATACCTACTCCCCTGAGCACCATTTTAATGATACCTAACAACATTTTAATGGGTCTAAATTTGCAAGGGCCAGAATGAATCAGACTGTGTAGTTATCAAAAGATTATCTTCAAATTGAAACATGGTAAAACAATCATTTAAAATTTGATCTTGTTTTTAATCCAAAATGTAGTATATTAGAACATACAGAGGTTTATAAAGTTTTACATCTAGGCTCTTTGGTCATCACATTACAAAGTTTAAAAAAAACAGCAACCCTATTTGCAATCTACTTATAATCACAACATTCATTTCCGTATCCCTAAGATTTAGACAAATCATACAAACACAGTAAAAACATTGTTTAACAATGAACTTGGCTTTGTTATAAGCCCACAGTTTTTGCATATCTTTCAGCAAATCCTAATTAGCTGTCCTTCAACATGCTGTGCACCTGCCCCACAGATAATGGGAGAGAGCATCTGCATAGACGACTGCATTCGAAGGGCAATAAATAAATTACGGGTCAAAATTATTACAAAGCTTTCTCCGAATAAACGCATACCCTTCACAATTCTAAGCTGCAGATGTGAAAAGTACCTAAAGCCCACTCAAATGGTATGATTACGGGGCTGTTTGAGTTTAATAATCTGACTGTAATTCAGGCATTTTCAACAGCTCATTAAGGGTTCATTAATATATAGGCAAGCTTTTGAATTATAAATAAGCAGATTAGAAATCTGCATCGGCTGGACTGTACAGTAGGAGCCTTTCTAACAGAAGAACACTGTAACACAATGAAGGCTTGACCTGAGTGAATGAGGTGCAAACACAGTGCGCTAACTAAGCTTCGTGGCTCCCTCATTTCAAGGACCAAGCCCACTGGACCATGACTAACCTCTGTTCATCCAGCACTGAAAGAGTATGGCTTCAGACCATAGCTATTTCAAATATGTTCTACATATGGTCCTGAATTAGGCATAACTAAGATCTAGCCCTATTATATTTCCATAATCAGGGAAGATATATAATATCCACAATAATGATAAAAGTTGTCATCACATCATTTTTACTTTATTATTCAGACCTGTTGAGAAACAAAAAGCTATTATGAAAACTTGAGTTGTTTGATGTTTTTTTCTCCTAATGAGCATACCATAAATTGAGGTCCCAAATTATTCATAAGTTTAAGCCTATGACATCTCTGTAATTTTATTTTCTGATAGGCTTGTTTTTTGATTCATTCAACCACCACACCACAGTCTTAGCTCAGAGAAAAATGTTTTAGCAGAGAGTAATGTAAAATAAGGCCAGATCAGATATCTTCAGCAGGCTCTGAATCCTTGACTGCTTTGAAATAAGTGACAATTTTAATATTAATATTTTCAGTTATTCTTATAATTTTTCATAGGTTTTCTTTTGTGCCTGCTATTTTAAAGTAACACACAGAATAGTGGTCAGAAGTTACAAAGCTAATTAGTGAAAACACCTACTTTATTTTCTATGCTTTCTTCATTTAAAAATCAAGTCAGCCACAGTTTGAGAAATGCAACCCAAACTATAGATAAAAAAGAAAGATTAAGACAGATGTGTGGCTACTTTTCTCCCCAAACAAAAAAAAAGTAAAATAATTTTCTATCTGAAATCCTTAAGTAAAAACCAGTTAAAATAGGAAGCAGAAGATCTGGAAATGAAATGAAGGTCACAAGCCCCATGGTCATGAGCTCTCATTTGAAACAATTACTTTTTGGTTGTGGAAACTGGGATATAATTTGGAAACAGTGGTGAAAGACACTGAAAAACCCTCAAGGCATCACTGTCTAAACTAGACTTAAGTGTTGGGGGTTGGGAGGGGTGGGGTTCTCAGTTAAACAGTAAATGGACTAGAGAGAGAGCTAAGAAGCCAAGTCCAAGGCCAGGTGCGGTGGCTCACACCTGTAATCCCAGCACTTTGGGAGGCCAGGGCGGGCAGATCATGAGGTCAAGAGATTGAGACCACCCTGGCCAACATAGTGAAACCCCATCTCTACTAAAAATACAAAAGTTAGCTGGGCGTGGTGGCATGCGCCTGTAGTCCCAGCTACTCAGGAGGCAGAGGCAGGAGAACTGCTTGAACCCAGGAGGTGGAGATTGCAATGAGCCGAGATCGTGCCACTGAACTCCAGCCTGGCGCCTGGGGACAGAGCAAGACTCTGTCTCAGATAAAAAAAAAAAAAAAAAAAAGAAGCCAAGTTCAGGAAAGAC